CATATACGTATACGGTACTCGTGCAAGGGGAAGAGAGAGGCTGCTTAAGTTGTCAAAGCGCCGGGATGGGCGCGAGAGCTCGCGAAAACCGCCTGTGCGCCACCCCCGGGAGAGGTGTTTGGATGGGTGTGCGTATAATAGGGGGGCCACGCGGGATTAGAGGAACCGATCGGAATCTATTTTACCGGCAGCTTTGCCGTGTCGCTTACTGAGCGCACCAGTGACGATTAAATGCTTTTTGATTTATTTGCCTCGGTGCGAGCAAGTGCTTCGTTGTTTTTTCCCTCTCTTTTATGAATTGCTTTTGGTATTTCCTTTTTTTGGAGGGGGGGAAGGGGGGTGTTTTTTTTTTTTTAGAGAGAGAGGGGAGTTTTGATGGGGAGATGGAGTGGTGGGTTTTGCTGGTGATTGACAATGTACGAAAAGATGAGGGAATGATGAATCACTTTTCTTGCCTTTTTTACATAGAATGTTTCTTTTTTTTTGTTTGTTTTATAATAATTGTTTTAAAAATGTAAATGCAACCCATGACAGTGCCATTTTGCTGAGTAAAAGATACGCTACAGTGACAATGCAAAAAGAGAGATCAAGATACGATGAAAAAATGTATAACTGCCCCACGATTGTTGCAACAAAAGTGAAACCACAATTCCCCTCGAGGGTCGAGAGTTAAACGCTCAATTGACGATACAACAAGTGGCTGGAGAAAGGAAAGTTGGGCCACTGAAAAACACAATTGATAACAATCGCAAGCGGTGAAAAGAAAGATGAGCCGGAGCTGCACCGGCACTTTAGCGCGTACACGTATACATATATATATATATACATCTGCTTGTACATAAATATACACTTGGCATCTGGCGGCCCTTGAATCTCTCCGTATGTATATATACACACACGTGTGCACGTAGACTCTTAATACCCCAGGCTCGGTTTAAGGGGACGTGCGAAGGGGCGGGGGAGGGGGATCGATGAGGTATGGGCTTAATGCCTTTTCAATTACGATCTCTCCCCGGCACGGTGTTACTGTTATTATCATAAGAGCAGGACGCGGTACACTGCGGCACCGTTTGTCGGGGATTTGCGACGTGGATTGGGAGAGTTACGGGTTTTTCACGGGTTAAAGTTATACCGTGTCATTTGGTGTATTGGAGATGCGCATAAGTCGACGTCACGAGGTGATTTTGCATTTTGACGCGCGTAAGGTGCACCGTGGGTTTTGACGTGGATTAGGTGGTGGCGGGGATTCGATCGGGAATAATTGTGGGATTATGGTGTTTTGGGACGTCAAACGTCAGAACGTCATGATGCATCGAAGTGCTAGAGCTTATATATCGGTCTGAGGAATCTAAAGGAGTTTTTTACAGGATGCTTTGGTCGTATGGCGAAGAAAATTAGATGCTTTGAAAAATAGTGAGAAACATTAGAATCGTTGTATTAATTGTTTTTAAGTATGGAGAATAAATGAGACTGGCTTTTTTTTGCATATTGTCAAAGTCCTTCAGTAACGAGTTTCAACCTCCTGTTGAAAATATAATTGTTATGAATATACATGAAATACGATAGACTATATGAAACGTAAATTAATATTTTGTCAACTGTGATATTTATGGATTTTTTTGTATGATTCGTTGTCTTACTGTGTAGTAAAACTTTTTTTTTTTTTTTTTGTTTTTTTTTAAGTGCTTATTTAATTTATTTTGGACTGGATCAATCGACACTTTTTAGCTATAAAAACGGTTTGCATCAATTTCAATTTTACTAGGAATCTACTGTTTGAACGGGGGGGAAAGTTAAATTAATGACCAAAAATTTTCAAAAATAACATAAAAATACACAAAAACGGCACTACACGCATAAAACTTATTTTTGTAACACTAAACTTGAATCCGAAGCTTGCATCGCTCCAAAAATATTATACGTGTGTTTATTTTTGTAGAGCTAAGTAATAGTTTATGGACATGTTTTCCTTTAGTTAATTTAAATAACTCGTTTGCATGTATTTTACCTTTTTTTTTGTCCGGTTTTAGATATTTGTGTGACAGAAATGAATGCAAAATTTGAGAAAAAGTATCTAGTGTACTTTAATTTCTAATGTAAACTATTTTTTTAATTGTATCATCGCTTGCCATAATTTACACTATACTCTGACGTTTCATCACTGCTAACCAAAAGAATGAAATTGTTGTGACATGCAGTTGAAAAAAGCACGATTTGAAAGAAAGCCAATCAAAAGAAAATTCCTCCCTTATTCAACATCAATATTCATAAAAATAAAATCCTATAAAAAAGTTAAAACTCGTGGGTGAAAAAAAAAAAAAAAAAATAGCAAAGCAAAAACCTCAACTCTCTCGATGAAAACCCGATACCCGACACCCCACATCAGCGAAAGCTCACAGCCAAGGAAAAGTCGCGACTCGATAGCGAAAAGCCCCACCGCCTACATCTCGACGCGCGAAACCTCAGGCACCTCAGCCCGTCGAACTTCGATTCCAGCCGATACATATATACATATGCATATATACATATACATACAGAACGAAGCCGTTGCGGGGGCGTCCGCGGCGCGAGTATCGACTCGAGGGCGGGGTTTTCGTGCCTCCCCTTCCACACCCCTCCAGCCGGCGTGTGTGTATAGCTGCACGAAACACCCCCCCCCCTCCAACCAACTACCACCCACCGCTCCATCGGTACGTGGAAGTATATATATGTATACGTGTGGTGGCTGAGGCCGGCAATGGCGCCGGGACTTGTTGTATTTCGCTTTCGAGAGCTGAGCTGCGGAGCTTTGCAACCCTCACCCTCCCCGTCCTCTTTTCCCTCTTGCTTTTGCCACGTATACCCTCTCGGGCTCGGGACGGAGGAGACATTACCTTTCCCTCCCCTTCCGGCACCATGACGAAAGTTGAGTCTGTCGGGCTAATGTATAGGTGCGCCTCCATGAGATTTCGATTTCTTTTGGGGGAAAAAACTTTGGCTCCGTTTTTTTTTTTTTTTTTTTGTCACGGGGTGGAGCGGAGGATCAATTGACGTAGAGCTTTTTTTTGGGGGGGAGGGCGGAATGGAGTGCATGCAACTGGGCGTTTTTACTGCATCGACGCGTGTTGGATGGGTAGACATAGAAATGAAGAGGACAAAAAAAAAAGAGAGATAGACACGACCCCCCGGCTGGAGAGTAAATTAACGTTAACGAGAGAAAGGGGACGGAAGTGACTGGGCACACGCGCAGAGGGAGGAGATGAAAAGACACCACCACGAAGGAAAAGAAATAAAGTGGCGGACTCGTATACCCCGTCGCCCGAGTTCCTCCTTGGCATTCTTCCTTCGCTGAAGAAAGGAAAATGACAAAGAGTAGGATGGGTGGGTGGGGGTTTGGCTCCACTTATTTTATTACATTATCATACCAACTGCGGGGGTTGGGAGGAGGGTATAAGAGAGGCGCTCGATAAGTGGGGGCTTTAAAAGCGACGGTTCTCAAATCGCTTAAGGGTCTTCTTGTCTTTGATTACCGATCCACCCTCCCCCCCTCCCGACCCTTTGTTGTTTCGCTCCGTCTCTCGTAAAATTCAAAGCCGGATTTTCCCACTGTGCATCCAGTGGGTACGTATACCTACACGTGTACAGCTTCCGTCGGGGAGAGAGAGAGAGAGATCGACCGGCTGAGCTTGCTGGCATTTTGCGTCTCGCCGCTCGATGTGATCGCAGGTGGGGTCGACGGAAAGTCAGAGTGGGAAGTCTTTGCCAAATGAATGAAAAACGAAACGGTGGGATTTGCTTTTTTTTTTGTGTTTTTGTATTTACGATGATGAACGGATTGATTAATCAAATTGGAAAATAAATCGTATTTGCTAATCGCCCTGTATTCGATAACATTTTAATCGCCACGTGTTATGTCGATCGGCGATTTGCTTTTAAAATATAATAATACTATATTTTTGTCGCCCATCTCGTAAATGGGGAGCTCGAAATCCATATCGATCGTCGAATGATAGCCGGACGAGTATTCGCACACGCGAACAGTGTAAAAAAAAAAAAAAAAAAAAGGTACCAACGCTTATACGATCGCGAGTCGCAGAGATAAAAACAAAATTATCGTGCAATCCGCAAAAAAAAGGGCAAACACTTTGTAAAAAATGAAAAAACTAAACAATTTTCGTCCACCGCGATACCCCTCCCCCCGAAATAATCGTATTACGATATGAAACGCAAATCCCCTCTCCGCTATCATGTTTGAGCACATGCCGTGTGGCTTGTGTATTAGCGGCGGTGATGGTGGATGCGAGTATCAAAGCGAAGCCCCGGGACTTTGATCATCGCTGCTGCGAGTTAATCCGCGCCTCGCAAAATTTTCCTTGTATTTGATACTGCGTGGTGCAACCGTCAACGAATTCACTACGTCCATTTCTAATATACACATATCTGATATTTGTGGGATTTTTAGTTTGGCGAGAATCGATGTACCATTGTGATGTTTCCACTATACACACACGGGCTTAGTAACACGTGGAAGTTGATTTACATTGTTGTGAACACGTTACGTAGAGGTAAAATCACGACTGTTGGGAACTTACAATGAAAAATGCATAATTTTGCACAAAAATGTTTGAAAAAAAACACCTCACAACCTTTCTCAAGTTATTTTGTTTCGAATTTAATCTTATACTTTCACCCGTATGTTCTTCAAGTTATCAGTACACAAGAAATATGAAATAATATTGAATATGAAGGAATCTTTGTCAATGGTACTCAACTTGTTCACTTTTGATAGAAACTTGGGGTAAACAAATCATACTGAATATCATCCATAAGATTTTAAAATTTTATTTATCAAGGATTTATTCCCTCGATAGCGTCACATACGTATAGGCAATAGCTTGTAGAAGCACATATTAATACACGCATCGATAATAATAAAAAGAACATTTTTTTTTTTTTTTTCAACAACAGTCAAAATGTCGTGTGATTAACAAAAAATATTTTCTTGTTATTTTTTAAAGAGATTATTCACGCCTTTTTTTGAAACTCAAAAGCACACTCTGTTCAGGAATCTGGACGTAACTTTCGGTGCTGCAACTCGTGGGGAGATTAGTTTTATCGCAAACGCGAAAAGTATAATTGCGTAAAAGTGCTACCAACGCCTGCTTCGATTTTAACATGCCAAGACTCTTTGCTGAAAAAAAAGGTCATAAATATTCATTAAAATTCACATTTGTCGTCCAAGACGTTTGATTTTATAAACGTTACCTATGCAGTTTCGAGGACCATCCCCAAATCCTATGTGCATGCATGTGCTCCTCGAATCCACGTTTTCCTTTGTGAAACGCTCGGGATCAAACCTGCTCGGATTCGGGTAATGTTCCGGATCGTTATGCAACCCTGACAATGAAATTAACAATCGCATACCCTTGGGAATGGTGAAATCCGAGCCAGGAATCTGAAAATCCTCTAAGCATATCCGATTCAAGAAAGCTCCCGGCGGATGTTTTCTCAGCGTTTCTAAAACCATTTTCATTACTTCATTGTACTCTGTTTTCAATGTTTCGATCCTCATCTGAGTATTAAAAACTGCACAGTTAGCCATAATGTTTACCGTTAAACACCATGTCCAAATATTGCATTTCCGAAATACAATCGTACGTCAAACCGGAGGGATTTTTTTCCAGCACCGTGTCGATTTCTTGTTGAAGTTTTTGTTGTACCTCCGGATGCATAGCTAGTTCCAGCAAGCAATTGGTTGACACTGCCGATGGTGTCTCAAATCCTCCCAAAAAAAATACGAAAGCCTGCGCTGCTGCTTCCTCCATGCTCAGAGGGTCAACGTCTTGAATGAAAAAAAAAAAAAAAAAAAAAAAAAAGAATTTAGAAAAATTTGCCTAGTACAAAAATTTTAGTCACCACTGCGGTTCTTCTATACCTTCGATTTTATCATCGGAGGACAAAGACGAGTCGTTGTCTTCTATGTGACCCTTGTCCATGAGTTGCATCAAGAGGCTCATGAAATCTTTCCTTTCTATTTTCTCTTTGCGGCGGTGAGTCACCGATTCGATAAAAATCTTGTTGAAAAATTCCCGAATGTTCACACCGAAAGCCGGCAGAATTATCGACTGCAGCACTTCGGGAATAAAAAAGATGAACAGCATGCTTATCCTCCCGAAATCCAGGGCTTTTATTCCATAACGGCGAAACTGATTGTCTGGGTTTTCGAAACTGTTGCAGTTGAAACCGTAAACGGTTGACGATATGACATCCACCGTGTACCTGTGTCGGGACAATCAATGTTACAACAGTAATGGAAAACATAAAAATATATTGTATCATTGAAAAAAATTAATTTCTCAGAACTAAGGAAATATATATATATATAATATATATGTTTTTTTTCTTTTAAATAATTACTCGGAGCCACTTCAAATTGTGAGAAATTTATTTTTCAGGGTATAAACATTACCTTACGAATAAATCTTTGACGTCGACAACGTCGGTCTTTTTCAACAAATCGTCGCAGGCTTTGATCATGGAGTCGCTGACTTCTTCGAGCAGGGGATATATTTGCCTTAGCTTTACGGGGGAGAAACTTGGCGAAAATTTCGTCCTTAGTCTTCTCCATTTTGCGTATGGTTGGAAGAACAAGTTGGCCGACATGGGATCAACTCGTTTGTCCGTAAACCAGCCGCGGTCGGCAAATTTATGAAATTCCTTGATTAATATGGTTTGAATAAGATCCGGATCGTTTATCATCAAAACTGGCTTGTGTAAAAAGTACATGCCGTGAAATGGGTAGCGGCAAAATTTTACGTAAGAGTTTTTTATGATCTTCGCTGCAATAATTAAAGTTGGCCATAATTTTTTTGTATCAATACAGACAGACTGTAGAGCACATATACTTTTTTAATATATTTTTTTGCTAACAACGTAGTGGTCTATTTATGATAAAAAAAAAAAATTTTCATTTACTATTCGTAACATTTCCGACAAAATTTTTTTTAAACATGAAAAAAAAATACATTACAATTCGAATATATATATAAAGAAAAAAAAGTCAAAGTATTTAAACATTTTATTTGAAATACTTTACAATAAACTTTAATATAAATGTATATTGCACTTAGCTACCAGAAAAAGAAAAAAAAATTGGTAAAATTGTATTGCAAATAGTGGAAAACCAAAAAGTGTTGAAAAAAATCAATACATCATTTAACTATATTTTAAATAAGTTTGAAAATTTATATAAATAATCGTGCCCAAGTCCAGACACGTAAGAGTAATTTTAACGCTGAAAAATGTAAAGCACTTGCGTAACGATTCAATGACATATAATTACCTAAATGTACCCGTCCAAAAAAGTATGAAACCGGCACATTGCCCAAAGGTATGGACGGATTATCGTGCGGCACATTGTATTTTTTCCAGTAATTGTAAACACAAAATTTCAAATAAACGTAAATCGCGACCAACACTGCGCTGAGAAGCATCAACTTTGTATCTATGAACTGAAACATGGCTAAAAACGCGATGAACACGAAAAGTCAATTGCCGCATTTGCAGCTGTATATGCTCGCTGTGGTGTCTCAGCGTCTACTGACATGCAATCCAAAGTTTTACAGATTTTGGCTACGCGGAATAAGTACTTACCGGCAAAGAAAAGTGACGCGATAATCGTGGACTCTTACGTGTATACATTGTGATGCACTCTTGTGCCCACGTGATATGTTGTAACCCCACTGTGGGGCAGAAACTGCAGCCATAAACATACCGATAAATTATGTGTTTATGTACAAACTGTTTACACCGCTAGGTCAAGAGGATTGTTCGAAATTTCGAAAAAATCGCGGCAGTTCTGTTGATAAGAATTTGAACAACCCAATCCGTATGTATTATAAATTGTTCAGCCAACGGTATTAAACATCGCATACACTCTTAAACAGGAAAATAGAAAAAAACTGCAAACTGTCGAAGGCCACACTTTGCAAAACGTTTTCAACACTCCGAGTCGAACATTTTATGAAAAAGAAAAAAAAAAAAAAAAACATGCAAAACAATACTCATTTGCCTTTGTTGCAAAGTATTATTTATCATGATTTTTTTACTTCACGTGCAGCGGGAAAAATTTATCGCGAATCTGTATTGTGAATAAAATTGATACCACCAAATTGACTTTTAAATTACACAAACATGTACGTTTATAGACAACACACAAAACGAGAAAGAACATCGCGTTATGTCCGGTGATTGTAGATACGACGAAGCAGTCAATTAAAGTAACAATGCATTGTTAACGATCAGAAAAATGTATGATTTTTGTACAACTATAGCTGTATTCGCTGCAACTTTTTTTCTTGTTGCATATAGCTGTGTGACATACTATAGATATACACACTGAGTCTGGTTGGTCTAGTTATGTGCAAGTGTATCGCAATGCAAATAATTATTGTACCCAATGATCCAATATACCACGGTTTCAAGCCGTAAAGCATTGTGCCACCGGTTAAACATACTCAAATTTTCGATTCGCTAAAGTCGATACAATATATTCCGCAAACTGTCGAGGTGGTTGTTTTTTAAATGCTTTTTAATACGATTATCATATACATGATAAAAAAGCATCTCAGACAAGGACACAACTGTAATCCCACGTCTACTCGATGGTAATGAAATCATTCAAGTAATCGATAACTTTAATTTAACACGATGAGTTACATTTTTAAATTGATACATACATGAGTTACATGTTGAAATTCATTAAAGTAACTGTAACGTGAACGTGACGTCGCATTGCCAAAGACAAAGCTATAATCTTTTCTTTTTTTTTTTTTTTTTTTTAAAGATAAAAGACTCGCGCGTGATGAAACTTATTTATTCGCGAATCAGCAACAAACGTACGTATTTTGGTAACGCCGTCTGTTGATTAAGACGTACTTATTTTGATAATGACAGCGCTGGTGAAAATAAGAACGACGAAGCAGCTAAAATATATCTCAAACGGGTGAAAAAAAGAAAGGCACACATGCCTCGACACTTCATTAAGGAAATAAAAAAAAAAAGATATTCGCGCGCTCGACCCTTCGCCGTTAAATATATATACGCACCAGGGACCTTGTGCATGAGCTTGGAATGCGTATATAGCCGTAGCTACCAGAAGCACGAGGGTGGGCGGGGTAAATTTTTCACTTCCAAGTCGACGACGTTTGAGAAATCAAGCTCTCGGCTCACGTAGCCCCCGACTTTTCCCCTCCGCTTGGGTGTGTCTTTCGTTTTCTCGTTTTTCACTGCCCACGTCCCTCAAATCCTGGCCGAGAGAAGGAGATTGCCTAAAAAAAAATGACTCGGCCTTTTTAGCATTCGGACTGGGGTTCAGATAATATATACCTACACGTATGAGGAAGTCGGCGCTCGATAAACCCTTACGTTATCGGTTCGGAGGTAATGGACTCGTGAAGCGGCTCTTTGCACGTGCTCTCTTTTCATTTTGTTGCGTCAAATTTTGTTTTCCAGCTGATTATGCATGGTCTTGCATATGGAAGCTTGCACTGCGAAACAAACAATCGTGTGACATTTTACGCATCGCTTTTCGGGTTTTTTTTCTTTTTTCCTGATGGCACAAATTAAAACGAATTAAAACTGATAGGAAGAATTTCCAACACGTGCTGTAAATCTTGCGACATACTTTTTCGTACGTTATGCACTCCAAAATAAATTTTTCCCTGACAAATTTTACATCCGATATAACACTGCCATCAGTTTTTGACTGCATACTTGCGTATGAAAGATAAACATTGAATTTATTGTATTGCAGTACAAAAAGTTATGCACAATGGAATTTTTTAAATTAGAATGCAGCTCTTACGTTTGTACGAGCATGAATAAAAAATAATTAATGGAACATTGAATTTCGTAAATATCGTATGTAATACAGCAGTCATGAAAAATAGTAACGTTGTATCCCCCTTCCCAAAAAACAAAAATGCACTATAGTAACATTCATGGTAAAAAGTAGTTGCAAAAGTAGAAGCACGAGCGCCCGTTGCACCCAATTTACTCTTGTATGATTATTTTTCTTTTCCGGCAAGCTTTCATCAAATTTCGAAAACAGAGGCCAGCAAGCTCATCGTACCCGACACGCCTATACCCATGTACAACATTATGCGAATCGAGCTTCCAATCGCGACCCAAAGTTCTCCCTTGTATAATACTCATGGTATGTATACACCAGGCAAAAGCTCAGCAGCAACGGCCAAGTTCTCTGGTCTGCCTCCCTCATCCGGCTCTCCTCCAAAAATCAATAGATTCAACCATCAGCTAGCCACCCACCCACCACCAGCGGCCATCGTCCGGCGCCTCTCTCTCTCTCTCTACTGTCCAATGTCCAGCCCTCCTGTGCAACGTGAAGTATATATTATATGGATATTGGCACCGCGTTCATTTACGTACCTACATTTGGTTCCCTCCCGTGGTTAATATTTTGTACACGAGACGTGAATGAAAAGAATTTTAATATGGAAATTAAATCACGTGCATAAGCATCATTTCGTAACCATATGGGTGAATAAACTATTTTTGGGCGCACAATATTGTTTTATCCCTGTATATTATATGAAATGGTATAACGTTCAAAGGAGGTGTAACTCGCCGAGACAGTTCCGGAATATATACATGTACTTGGGGAGTACAACGCAATAATAACAATTACCCGTTCCTTTTTAAGGGCTCAAAATCGTAACTTCAAAGACTCTGGCACTGCGTCTCGTTTGGGTATACATGGCATTGTTTGTTGGAGACGAAGAAAAATAAAGGATTGTCGTTGTTACATACGTGTTGTTGAGGGGCCACAAGCCATTAGCCGGTGAAAATTGGTGTGAGCGCTAATTACAATTTGCCCATGAGGCTCCCTGTTTTGTCAGTTGAGCTTTTTTTTTAAATTATACTGTCTCGATTTTTTTAGCAATTTAGTGGATCGGAAAAGATGTACCGATTTCATCGCATGGTTGTTTCAATCGATATATTTTAACCGATCGTTGTCTTCGTCTGCATTTCGCCAGGTTGGCCATTTATTATAAAATTCATCCTGTGTTTTAATATCCATCAACTATTCACTTTATTTATACACAATAATCTTACGATTCAAATAGAATTGCACTTACCTTCACGGCGTTGGTAAACATATTATCTGTACTCGGCTTTCTATCACGACGTTGGCAAGTGTATTCCTTACGTTATCGGTTATCGACGATCCAATTACCAACAACTGCAATAAAAAAAGACATGTGCACAATTGGATGAATTGATAAAAATTCAAATACGTACATACATAAAATTGTAAAATATCACAGATTCTTGCAATGTCGTTCGTTAAAAAAATTACAAGTTATTTTCATACGTTAAAAAAAAATAGCAAACTTTCAAGTTGCGTCCATAAAAACCAATAAAATTGACGGTAATCTGAATACTAATAAGTACACTACAACTTAAATGCAGGAGAATATTAATACTTATAAAAGTTACAGCAAATCCCAAGTGCTCCTTCCAAGGAAAAAAAAACAATTAAGCAGCGATAAGTACCAGGAATAATATTATTTTCCTTTCCAGCAGCTGTGTTTATTAAACAGATAGTTATAATAACAAAATGAAAAAGAGAGAAAGTAACATTTCCGATGCACTATATATTTATGACGTTCGTCGTCCTGCAGTCATGGAACTGCTCATCTTGTAGACGATCGTCTTGTGTGTGTTATCAAACAACAGAATATAATAACAATGTATCAGTTACGCAAAAAAAGAAGAAACCGAAGCAAGTAAACAAAAAAAAATAAAAAAACAACAACGCATTCCTTTCTGCATAGTGTTGTTATTTGTGCGACAGTATCGTGCAAAACGACGATGATATCTTTGCTGCCTCCCCATCTCTTCGACGATATACTGTTACTGTTATCTCCAATAACCCCTTCGCTATGTTAATACAATATCTATACGTACTTGTAAAAAATGAAATGCTGACCACGGCTGAAACTCGTTTCTCTCATTTAAGCATATCATTTCTATTATTTCGCTCTCTTTCGTTTCTTTCGTTCGATTAATGAGACCAAAGACGTTTCTGTTATTATTCCTCAACTACTTACAAGAGGCTGGAGGTACATACTTTAATTAACACTTGATCGCGAGGAAGATGCCTTCGTGCGCCAGCGAACTGTCCAAATCGCGTGAGTACCAGAGTTTCCGGAGTTCGGTGCCCCTTCGCAAAATTGTCGTCGACACTGATGGAATAAAGGTTAGTTTTTTAAAAGGATTTTTTGAAACAATTAAGCTTTTGATAAGATCGGTTATTCCCCCTCTTTAATTTTTTTACTGGTATAAAATACGTTTACATTTTCGTTACATGTACTGGATTTTGAAATTGAAAATGCCATGGTAATTACAAAAGTGTAATGAACTTGTGAAAATTAAATTGTTTCTGTGAAGTCCATGAAGGACCCCTTGATTTTAAGGAAATTATTTACATATCCTACAATAATCTATAATATGAACATCAATTGCAGGGTTGGAAAATATACGATTCTAATCCAAAAACCATAAAATGCCCACTCATTTGTCTTCCACCAGTGAGTGGAACTGCTGATATATACTACAAACAGATCTTGGGTCTTTCTGCAAAGGGATACCGAGTTATAGCTGTAAGTTTTTATGCATTATTTAACATTTGATGCATGAAACACTTGAATCATTTTTTTTTTTTTTTTCAGGCAGAACCACCTGTTTATTGGAATGTCAAAGAATGGTGCGATGGCTTCAAAAAGCTATTGGACCACATGGGATTGGATAAGGTTCATTTGTTTGGAGCTTCGTTGGGTAAATTTCTATTTTTAGAAACTACGATTTAATTTCCCTACAACGTAAATATTTAATTTCTCATGAATAAGTGCATGTACATGAATTACCAATAAAACATTTCCATTCTATAGCTTTTTATTTTGTACAGGTGGCTTTCTTGCCCAAAAATTTGCAGAACTGACTTCACACTGCCCAAGAGTCGTTTCACTAGTATTGTGTAATTCCTTCACGGATACCTCAGTGTTCAGCTACAACGATTCAGCTGCTGCGTAAGTAGTAATAAATTTACTAATTAAACCCGTAATAATAGGACTAACTGACTTTATGCACACATATGTTTTAGATTTTGGATTATGCCGTCGTTAATGTTGAAAAAGATGGTGATGGGTAACTTTGGAACAGACAAGTTGGATGGAGAAATGATAGATGCCATTGATTTTATGGTTGAAAGGGTACAAAAATGTGATTTGAATAAAATTTTAATGATGAATCAACCTAATTATCTAAAATTACTAATAATTTCAGTTGGAAAGTTTATCTCAGTCAGAATTAGCGTCCAGGCTTACGATTAACTGTGTAAGTAATTATGTTGAACCACAAAAGATTTGCCACTTGCCTATTACAATAATAGACGTCTTTGATGAATACGCTTTATCTAATGGCGTGAGAGAAGAATTGTACAAATGCTACCCAAGTGCTAAATTAGCACACTTAAAAAATGGTGGAAATTTTCCTTATTTGAGCAGATCTGCAGAAGTAAACTTACATTTGCAGGTATGGTATTAATGTTTTTATAAAGTATTAGTGTACATGTGTGTAATACAAACAATTTTTTTTAGATTCACTTGAGACAATTTGATGGAACAGAATATGCTGCTTCTAAAAGGCAACCTTTTATCGATGAATCCACTTAAAGACTTTTATTCCATTCTAATTTTAGTAATAAATAACAAGTTATCTACTATGTAAATAATTTTTTATACCACGTAACAGATTCATATTTACACTTTGATGAAATAAAAAAAGTATCAATAAAAAACATGTTTTTGTGTATCTGATTTTTCATAAATTTAAAATAGTCTTCAGTGGATTTTGGTCCTAACTTCTACTGAAAATAACTGAATACACTTAAAAACAGCTGCAATCAATTGTCTTCCAGGCATAGATGTAAAACAATTTTTTTTTTTTTTTTTTTTTTTTAATTAATTTCTGAGAATGTTTTTGACTTATCTTAGTAAAATGTTAGTCGTGTAATACAACCTCAAGAACTTTAATTAGAAAAATTGATTCAATAACGTACAGTGAAACTATATTAGCAAAATTTCATTTTAGAAGAGTTATCAATTAAATAAGTAATTTTAAATTTTTGTAATCATAAAGTATTTACAGTAATAAACCGAATAAAGGAAAAACTATCTGTGCACATCCTATAAACTTGCCGCAAACAGCACAGAAAATGTCTACTTTTTATTTTGTATGTATAGAATTAGTAGCGGCTGGTTTATAATTGATTAAATGGCACTACTATGAATAGTAATAATTATTTGGATCAGCGCCATCTAGCGGTCTTCATTTTTTAGCGAAAAGTGGCCTCTAAAATTCTCAATCAGAGCAATCAGGCTTAGAGCTATTTAATCAACTACAAACCAGCCGCAACTTATGATAAAGCTATAAAATAGAAAAATAACGATACATGTGTTTTTGGCGGCAAGTTACTAATTGATTTTCTACAAAAAAATCGACGTCCTATGCACTTATACTATTAAAGATGCATTTTCGAGCAAAAGATAGATTGTCAACTTGCCGCCAAAAACACACGTATCGTTATTTTTTCATTTTATAGCATTATCATGAGTTGCGGCTGGTTTATAATTGATTAAATGGCTCTAAGCCTGATTGCTCTGATTGAGAATTTTAGAGGCCACTTTTCGCTAAAAAATAAAGACCGCTAGATGGCGCTGATCCAAATAATTATTACTATTCATGGTAGAGCCATTTCAATTATTATAAACCAGCCGCAACTGATCGTGTGGTTGTAAAATAAAAAGTTAAGGTTGTTTGGGCTGTTTGCGGCAAGTTTACATTATATCTTTTACTTGAAAGAATTAAAGAGAAACAATGATGCATCCTCTGCAGGTATGTTGAGCGACGTTTCAGTTTACTTTTCAAGAAAGTTAACTTAAAAAGCTAAAAAAGTTAATTAATGCCATCAACAAAAAGGAGCAGACTATCCAACTCCATTAAACGTTTCGACCATCAATAAATGAACACGCCATTGTTTGAGAGCAACAATGCAGTAATTGAGACAACCGACAACATTTGCTGGAACTATTTGTCTTCTTGTCCATCATTAATTCCTAGAGGATTAATAATTGAATTGTGATAGCTTTGTTTCATTAAAATGTTCTCTATCTTGAAAATTTTTTAGCATCAATTGGGGATGAATGAAATAAAAATAAACTGTTGAAATATGCATTAAAAAGAGTTGATATCTTTATTCAAAACACTAATAAGTGACAAGGAAGTTCATACTAATTATCATTAAAGTATACAATAGTATATAAGATAGACAAATAATGGGATAAAAACATCGTTCATTCAGATAACTCAATAAATATACTGTGTCAATGATTTACATGCATAAGTATATGGCTAATAGTATGAAAAAGGAAAGTCAACACACTTTTTTTCTTTTAATATCTAATGCGAACGATGCTCCAGTTTCTTGATGAATTTTTTTTTGCAATAAATTATCACAAAATTGTTGAAAAAATGAAAAATGTTTTTAAATGTTCAACTTTTATGTTATATCTACCATTGAGCTGAAGATTTCAACAATCAAATCTGGTCTTGTAGCTTTTAGCTTTTTATATCCTGCTGTTTCCGTCACTTGTGCTACATTCAAAGCAATATACTCCATGACCTTTATTTTCAATGTGCTGGCATCGTGATCATCTGCTGTCAACAAAAGGCTTGAAGCATTGGAAATATTTAATCCATGGAGGAAATTGTTTTCACACATAAGTTTCAGTCCATTCAAATCAAATCTATTTGCAGCAGCTAATAACTCAAGAGTATTCGATTCAAGATTTTCAACTTTACCACTATAGATGTAATTTAATATTTCACACATCACCTCATAAGTAAAACCATTGATTTCTCACAGTGCTTCAGTCACACGAAGAGTTTCCTAAGAATGGAGCATTACATCTCACCAAATAAAAAATATATTTAAGTATTACAGAGAAGTAAATTTCAAGTGTAATAAAGAGACAAAGAACCCAACCTCCATTTGTTAACCGCCAATTTTAAATTTGCCGCAAACAGCATAAACAACGTCAACTTCTTATTTTACAACCACACGATTAGTTGCGGCTGGTTTATAATTGATTAAATGGCACTACTACAAATATATGGTAATAATTATTTGGATTCGCGCCATCTAGCGGTCTTCATTTCTTAGCGAAAAGTGGCCTCTAAAATTCTCAATCAGAGCAATTAGGCTTAGAGCTATTTAATCAATTGTAAACCAGCCGCAACTCATGATAATGCTATAAAATGAAAAAATAACGATACGTGTGTTTTTGGCGGCAAGTTGACAATCTATCTTTTGCTCGAAAATGCATCTTTAATAGTATAAATGCATAGGACGTCGATTTTTTTGTAGAAAATCAATTAGTAACTTGCCGCCAAAAACACATGTATCGTTATTTTTCTATTTTATAGCTTTATCATAAGTTGCGGCTGGTTTGTAGTTGATTAAATAGCTCTAAGCCTGATTGCTCTGATTGAGAATTTTAGAGGCCACTTTTCGCTAAAAAATGAAGACCGCTAGATGGCGCTGATCCAAATAATTATTACTATTCATAGTAGAGCCATTTCAATTACTATAAACCAGCCGCAACTAATCGTGTGGTTGTAAAATAAAAAGTTAAGGTTGTTCGTAATGTTTGCGGCAAGTTTACGTTATAACTTTTACCCGAAAATTGACGTCCAGAATTATAAATATTCCATTTATTTTATATGGCTTATTAAATCGACCATATTTACAAAATCACTATACTTAAGACCTTTTACCATAAACTCATGGAAGCACAGCCCTTTAACTTTATAGATCCAATAAACAGTTAACATACATAATATGCACATTGCAAAATTTAGCTTCGTTAATCAATATAAATTAGTTAGAACATGATAAATAGCTTTTCTCTGTTGTATGATCTTTTTCTTCCTTTGTTCGTATATATTTTAAAATTATCAAACTAAAACTTTTATTATTATCTTGGTATTTTATTAACAAACGAAATATTATTTAACTGCAAAATTAGGTAATCCAACATACGATCGTTAGCTTGAAAGAAGTCAAACAATGTCAACATTTCTTTTCTTCAACACAATTTCCATAACTAAGTAGTAAAAATTGTAATTAGTATAAATTGTAAAACTACATGGAGCAGACTTGTGAAGCTGGTGCACATAATTAACATTAAATATTGATATTTTGCAACCATTTAAGGGCTCAAACGATTAGTGCACACACGCATACACGTTATTAATACAAATGTTCAATGTTGTCTACCTTATACTTTGTACTTGTAGTTTTGCACGTGTAACATTTAGATGATGGTTGTAAATGTTGACATTTTAATTGTTGACAAATCCTTATGTTATATTCAGTTATGAATCTTTTGTTTCAGCTCATCATCGTATCAAATTTCCACTTACACACCATCATTGCCATCATTATCCAGTCCATTATTACAGTCATCATCGTCATCTAGTATATGGATTTGTTATTGTCCAATTGTTTAACTAAGTATCATGTAATTTATTGATAAGTACGTAGGTCGATTATTTTTAATACAAACTGTGAGTTGAAAGAAAATGTGCTAAATATTGTTATTTAACTAAACTGCATATTCTGAAAATAAAAACATCTATGATGTCAAACCAATAAGATTTTAAAATGAAGGAAAGGTCTTATGCTTGTGAGATAAAAAAATAAAAAATTTTGTACTGTTGGTAATTGCTGTTTATTTGTTTGGGCATACGAACACAGCTCGCGGTTTTTCTCGTTTACGTAGGAAAATTATCATCATATACATTTTTAAGATAAAGTTATTGGCTTGATGCTAACGCTTAAAAAATGAATGATATACTTACAATGTATTAGGTTCTTAATAACATAATCAAAATAACATTGACACGTACATTCATGTATTTATACACGTAAAACTTTTATTTTTATTCTACGTATTTTACCGACTAATAAATCCTCCGATATTTATCTCTTATGCGTACACGTGAGTTATTATTAGAATCATTAAATTTTTATGCATAGACTTATAAGTGTAAATTAACTTATGTATGATATTTCGCTTTTGAGATGCTTCGCGCATCCTCGCATTTTGCCCTTTTCGTCTGTTATACCAAACGTGTCCTTGTTTTTTCTCAATTCTTGATTTTATATCAATAAAATCTATTTGCGTACTCGTTGAAAATAATGAGAAACGTTGGTACCTGATAATAGAGTTGGTAAACCCTTTATGAAATAATTTTTTTTTTTTTTTTTTTTTTACAAAATACCATTGAATTGCTTACAAAAATTCCCGTGTTTTTGGGAGCTCCACAAAAAAAAGAAATCCCACAGTCATTAGTTTTAATTTGTATCTTAAATAATTTATTGTTTTCTACGTTAAGCGCGTGTTATTGATGGTTTTAATAAATCGCGACCTACTATTTACGGAGGAGGAAAAGAAGGGGATGTTGGTACACTTTACAAAAACACGGAAAAAATGTGTATCGGTGTAGAGTAAGAATAAGAGAAATAATATATAATACAGCGAGACTCTTTGAAAGTACGTATATAGTGTTATTATTATTCTTATCATTATTATACAATTGATTGCGTGCATCGTCACGATATAGTATTATTTATAATTTACATGTACAGTTTATTAGAGACAATAATATATTATAATATAGGCCTCGCATAAGTGTGAATACAAAGAGGGAGCGTACAAAAAAATAATCTTTCGAGTGTAAATAGTAGTTTCGACATCTACAACGCTGCCTTATACTTACATAATGTATATATTACATATAAATGTGTGCTAAGTTTTAATTTCCATCATTTTTCTTTTTTTAAGCAACGAATTGAATTTATTGTTTATTATTGATCAGATCGAGCATGATACATACATTTTTACGAGTAAATCTTATGAGACATCTAATGATTTTCATTTTCAAGTAAATCTTTGAATCTTTTCAGCTCATTACAAACATGCCACTCCTTGGAATAATGTCACTAACTCTGTTCAATGGTTTTTTGGATAACGTGATTGTGAAAAATAATATAGTTTACTATATTAGCATCTCGTGTCGTCAACGCCAAATATACATTCGAGATAATATGTACACATCAGAGTTGTGCCAATAGTTAAAATGGTAACAAATGTAGGGAACACGTGTTCATAACGGCGACATATGAAAAAAAAGATATCTACAAAACTCGCTGAATGTACACGAAAATTTTTCTACATTACTTTGTATGGAACACATCGGAAATGTGCCATATATCTCGACGAACAAATGAAATCATTGGCTAATGAAGGTGTATGATAATGGCGCGCTACATACAAATATAAGACTGCAGAATGGAGATACATATTGTTATGAGGAAGACGAGAAAGGAAAAGAAAAGCTCGTAAAAAGATGGAGGAAGAAGAGACAGAGTTTTTCATACAGATTATAACAATTATAAACTCGTGCTCTCGTTTTTTTTTTTTTTTTTTTTTTTTTTTTTTTTTTTTTTACTTTAAAAAGTGTACGTAGTACGACACCCTTTTCGTTTTGTTACATTATTATTTTCAACTTTCACAAATATAAAGCGTACAATATTCGATTTTGTTTTGTTTTTCTCGATAACTTGCTTGCTTTTTGTCTTTCTTGTAAATACTTATTATACTTATCAACTATAGTATTTATGTACAAGCGGATATAATATGTATCGCGAAGAGCGCTGCAAAAGAAAGAACCAGTCTGTCCTCGAACGAGAGTATTGTGGAACTTGTAACCATATATTTTTTTTTTTTTTTTTTTTTCAAACATTTTGTTCATCATTTATTACTATTAATTCAGTACTAATAATTTATTACCATTATCTCGCTTATTTTAATACGGCTGCCCTCGTCAATCGAGCTAGAGACGTGTGTCCTTTCTTTTTTCGGCTACGACCTCCTCGAACATTTTCTTCAACTTATATACTTAAGAGATTACATACGTGTTTGTTTTATACAGGTTTTTTTAGCTAATCAGTCTTGTATCAGAGGCGTATATGTATGTACGTACCTACATCTATTTATTTATTCGCTTATATTTCATTTATTCTCTCAAATTTATATTGCGCGGCTCGCATAGTGTAATGGTTCAGTTGATTTTTTTTTTCAGATGTACTTTAACTTAATAGTTCCCTTTCGAATGCCTACAACATTCCTTATTTCGATTGAATCAAAAAACGCTAATGCTGTATTGTACGTATTTTCAAAGGTTTAAAAGAAATTTTGCTCACATTAAAAATGAATGAGATACTTTTGGGATACAAAAACAGAAACCTTTGAATAATCGTGTTCAAGCGTTACAAGAATCATGACTTCTCTAATCAATCTTGACTCTCAACGGACTTGTAAACAGTCTGTTGTCGAAGGCGATGAAGAAGATACAATGACGCAAATTGAGAGAAAAAGTTACTTTCATAAATCGTGATTTTCATTATTTTTCTACGTAAACTGTATGATCTTTTATTTTCATTGATTTGCAGGGTACTCTCAGCACCGAGCAGCCTTTGTTTCAAAAGCAGCCTTCTAATCTTTACGTCGATTCGAGCTGCTATTTTTAAAGAAAAAAAAAAAAAAAAAAAAAAAACAACCAATTGATTAATCGAAAATTGCTTTGGTATTCGACATCAACTTTTGCTTCGTTTGAACTTAACAGTGATTAAATGTGAATGTGAATAGTAACTCGAATTTTTTGTTTTATGTGACTATTTGTAATTAAAATATAAATGCCGTTTAATAATAAAAGAGATAGTTCGAGATTCATGGATAATCAATTTAATGATATGAGGAGAACATTTTGTTGTAGTAGATCACTTGAAGATCCATGTGAATTTTAGCTTTTGGTAACAATCGATGAGTCAATTGTTTAACCATAATTCAAATGCACGAAGCTTATTTAAAAAACTTTTTTTTATGATTAATGAAAAAAAGACCGTGTGGTGGATAACCATAAGCTTTGTGAAAAAAAATTAAAACAAAAAGTACCACCAAAAAGCTCAACGCGACGCACTCGTGAAAAGGTTGCAACTCAGCTTGATTCAATTAAATTTCTACAAAACCTTGACATAAACAGAAAGCGCCGGATTATTTTTCATAAAAGAAAAATTTTACCGGGGAAACGAAATTTAATCAAGCGTCAGATGAGAAGCGTCTCTTTTGCTATACGTGCAATGATCAATTCGCAACCATTTCGTAGTATATAATACATATGTTTTCGTTAGTGTTTATTGTACTAAAAAAAAAAAAGAAAAAAGATTTTCCTAATCGATTAATCAGTTCAAGCGAGAAACGCTAGTAAAGAAGTTACGCATATGCGTGTATATGTTGAACAATGAAGAAGGACCAGCGTATCTTCTCGTACCGCTCGCGCTCGCATTGTCGTAGTTTTTGCATGTTGAATAAATAATTTTAAAAAAGGGATACAAGTATAAAGAGAAATTCGTGTTATATCTGTTTGTTAAAATATTCATATTATTTATTTAAAATTTCAATTACTTTTTCGCATACGACAACACGAGCGCCATTTGTTTAGGTATTCATTTATATTACAATTATCGTATCTCCGTAGGATTTTCACATTTATTCTTCAAATCTTTATTTAATGAACACTTTGTGGAATTGTTGTGTCTGCTTTATTATTATTTTTATTATTTTTATTATTGTTACTATTATTGTTATTGTAATAATAATCATATATTTTTCTACACCGACTAATTGTTGCGAAAAACGAGGATTTTAATAAACTTTATTACATTCTTGTTGCTTAGAATTCTTTTTTTTTTTTAATTTTTCTTG